ACAATGTTTTCCTCCACAGAAATGTGATGTTCTATTTAAACACATCCAAAGCTGACCTGAGAGCACAAAACCTAAAAGAACCAAATTCAACCATGACTTAAGCGTTTTTGAAAAACAAGCGAATAAAAAGCCCACTACCAGAAGCTGTTAATTGTGTTGAGTCCATCTTCCCCTTCTCCTCTCTCACAGGCTTGCATGCCAGCACAACCAGTTCTTTAATGTGACCCCCCTCACCATATTGTCCCCTTAGCCACAAATGCCTTAAAAATTATCTGATGCTATGTCCAAATTCACCATAAATTTCAACACAAGCTATGCATGCCTAGGCAGGCAGCATGCTGAACAAATCTAATCAATGCTAACATTGCATCAAAACTAGCTGGACTATTGCAGTTCAATGCATATTTGTTTGGCCATGAGGGAACAGATGACTGTTAGCACAGTGCAACAACAAAGCAGTAGGCAGAAATATCAGGATATATGTTTTAGAGCATTAGAGCATGTTAAAGAAAATAATGTGTAGTCAGAACATGACACTGATTTTCTTCAATATAGGAAATTTTGCAGTCTTGAGAGATCATTTATATGCTACAGCAAATAGTTTTTATCTTATGCATCATACTTTCATAGGTTATTTTTCTCCCTCTGAGCATCTTACTGCTAACTGCAGCTCTTTAATTATCACACAAAGTTCACTTAAAAAAAGAAATCCCTTTATTCTATGTTTGCCACTCAGTGGTGAGAGTACTCTGAACTCAGTGGTGCTGTAACCCTTTGGCATAACATGGCCTCTTCATCTGAACTGCTCTTCCCTCTCTGCCTCCTTTGAGCTCCTTTAGCTTGTCCTGTTTCATTTTATCATCCCAGGCTGCTAGATGACTGCTGCTCCCATTTCACCAGCCACAGATGCCTCCACCCAGGATGCTCCTGCTCCAGCCTGCCCACCACGCCTCAGAAGCAATGTCATGGGTTTCCACTGTTTGCTGATGGCAATGTGGTACCGCAGCCCCCACTGCCTGCCCGGATCAAGCCCTCTCCCACTCCTGTGCCTTCAGGCTGAGCAGCAGCAAGTGCCACTGTCAGGCGTTGTTCACATTACTGGTTTTAACAGGAGCACACACAGAAATGTCTTTGCCTGCCCATAAACGTTGGTTCCACATTTTAAAATGCTGGTCTCTGCCAGTGGATATAACGTCCTGCCCTGAGGATTCAAAAAGCTTGAACATACATTCTGGCTTCTGGACAGCTGAACCTTTATATTTTATTTCAAAGAAAGGAATATTTTCCTCCTTACTGTTGATAACAGAGCGAATCCTTCACCAGCCACCTCTGGCTTTATGCATCTCATTTAGGTGCTAGTAGTCTTTTCATTGCACTGTTCTGCTTCTCGGGGAGACCCACTCAGACGCTGCCAGAAGATCTGTGTGTGAAAACTGCTCTGAGAAATGGGCCCTGCATATTAAAAGCTCCCATGAAAACAGGTGCTTATTTTTAAGGACTGTGAAAAAAAAAAAATCATAAGCTGGCATCAGCTTTTCAGAGGGTGATTACAAAATGAAAATACATCCTAAACCAGTTAAGGCAAGATGTTAATAACTTATACTAATCCTATATAGTCTTTCTAATGTTTCTTCTAAAAATATGTATATTGTCTATACATATATATACATATGTATACATGTAATTCTCTGATCTGTATTTTTTCTGTTCTGTCACCTGTGATGAAATGTGGGGAATGAGGAAGGAAGCACAATGATAATAGTAGAAATAAACTTTGTTAACTACATTTCAGTGATATTTATTTACAATTTTTATTAGCTGAGCGTAACAAACTGCAGTTTTACCAAAGAATCTATTTTACTCTCTACATTTCCCTGTTTATAAACAAACTGATTTTTTCTTCTGCAGGAAATATTCTTAACTGAAGGCCTGAAACTAAAACCAGAGACATTCTTCACCAGCTAGGGTCATTTCCATATTTCAATAAGAAATTTTGGTCATGGGTGGTAGAGCGAGGGTGGAGGGCAATTTAAAGCAACCCCACAGCTTCTTGATGCAGTTTGCATCATTCCATCATGTAAATTTAGGAACACGAAAACTGCTAAAATTAGTCAGATCAGAGTCCCACCAACTCCCGTATCCTACACCTGAGAATGGCAAGAGATGCTTTTGAGGAAGAACATGGGGAAGACAACAAGTGCATGTTCTCAATCTGTTAACTTCAAGCATATTTGTGATAATTAGTGTGAACACTGTAGCATTCAGTTTCTGTTTAGATCAAAAAATATCTAATCACTCTAAAATGAGGATTATTGCCATGTAATATCTGCTTGCTTTGGTTTAAAATTCCTCTATGGATGGAAGGGGGGTATGCAGAAGGCAGAGCCAGACTCTTTCCAGAGGTACCCAGTGAACAGACGAGAGGCAACAGACTCAAGCTGCAGCAGGCAAAGTTTTCAATGATACTGGTGAAGCACAGAATCTTCATCTACAGACAATTTCAAAATGTGGAAGTTACCCCTACTTGGAGAAGGATATGGGTCTTGACAGCCACCCTTCCAATCTAAAATACTCCATGATGCTGGAAATAAAACCCTCCAAAGCATATAGTTAAAAACCACAGGTCTAAGACATAAGTAAAATGAAGTATTATTTCAGTTATTTGAGGACAGGTGTGTTGTCTCAGCAAACTGAAAATCTTCCTACCTCGCTTCTTTTACTTTCATAAGGAACTGGGGACAGACAACAAAAGCCAAATGAACCTATATGCATGTTTTGCACCCAGATGCTGTAGACTAACTTCAGTAGATAATCTATACAGGGACCATATTTCTTGGACAGGAAGGCTGCAAGAAGTGCCCCACTTCATTTCTAACAGTTTTTCCTTCTGTGGCTTTAAGTCCTGCATGAAAAGACAGATTTCCAGAGGTTTTTAGGCACTTCACACCTATTGATTGCACTGGTGGCAATACATCTACTCTTCCGTGTTGCTGAAAATAGTCCTTGGTGTTTATCTTCACTGTTAGATGCTGTTAGATGCCCAAGTATCATGAAAATCTGGTTTTGGATTATTTTCTGATTAATTTTAGAGAATTTAACTGGATCTCTGATACACTGCTTAGTCCAACGACCTGTGCATTTCAGTCTGACAGATTCCCACTAGATACTCTAAATACTCTGTTTAGAACAAAGCACCTAGCCACCACAGGTAATGGAGATAATGGAGATGACTGGAAAGAGAAGGAAACTGTCAGGTGAGATGTATTCAAGATGACCCATCTCTGCAGTGAAAGGCAAATATTTATTGCCAAATGAAAGCATTTGGCAGTAGCACACCCTCCCTTAACTCTCAAACAGAAAAACAAACTCTCATCCAGGAAGGAGATAATTGCTTTTCTAGTCACCTGGAGGATGAAGCACTTAAGAATTCTTTGTGGATTTAGCATTGCTGAAGGAACAAATAGACCAATGTCCAAGAAACAGTTGAAACTGGCAATTCCATTTATGATTAGCAAGCTACTGCAGTGCTGAAGACTTATTTCAGAGAAAGATTGAAGCAGCATTGGCAAACTAATAAGGAACTGCAATATGGGCATAGAGAGAAATTACAGCAATCAAAAGAGTCCCAGATTTATAAAATGCTAACATAATAGAACGTACTTTGACACATTTGGTGGGAATAGGTGTGTATATTAAAGTTAACTTCTGTAGCTCTCAGAAAACAATTATTTCATGGCAGTGCTCATCTTGGAGGAAGAAACAGTATCTCACACAAAAGCAAGTGCCTTTACTTTGATCTGGAGAAGCATCAAGACAACTTTGATATAGCAGTGAAGGAGCTTTATCATTTCCCTCTATACTGCTGTGTGTAGCACACTGAAAATAAAGATGATGTAGTTGGTTTAATGTGGTCTCTTGTTTTAATTCTGCAGACCACTTTTCAAGACTAAATGAAAGGTAACAAAAGTTTTAGCACATTTTATTAGGAAACATCATCTTCCTCTCACACAATAATCTCCACATAGGGGGTGCATTCGAAGCAAGTTCTACACTGCCTTTGCAACATCAGCTTGGAACAGCAAGAACTACCAGAAAAGAAAATCTCAGCACAAGGCGGCTTCCTTTTCTGAGTTAAGTAGAAAGTACCAGTTTACAAAAAGAGAAGCCCACAAGCTGGTTAAATTCAAATCTGGTTTTACTGTGTCAAGTCAGAAAGGCTCAGCCTCAGGGAGACCCCACAAGTTTTTTCTGCAGAACCCTACCTCTCACCTCAGACAAAACCAAGCCCTTTCCGAACCTTTATTTTTTAAAAAGCATATAAGCAAGCCAGCAAAGTAATATGCACGGAGAATCTCACAAAACAAACAAAAGTAAGTCTAACAAAACACTGTGTGGGTCTCAAGTCATGTTCATAATTATATTTAAGCCCACATCGAGCTTTTTTTCAGTCCACCCAACTCCAGAAAAGCATCGCACTAAAGAGCATCTCTCCAAAGAAAAACAGGTGAAGGGACAATCTGCTCACAACAGCTGTGAGAGTAAGGGAAATACTCTTTTTTTAAGATTTCTCCACAAGAAAAGAGCCCATTGAAAACAAATAGTTACTGTTAATTGCAAGCTTGTATTGGACTTTACAGTAGTTTATTGCTGTTAGCTTTGTTATGATCAAATGGTAAACACTGACCTAATAATGGAGTTGAAAAGAAATTTCACAGCACTTCTACAGTCATTACAGCTGAATACAAAATAATTCTATTGTAAACTGAGCTAATGATGGAGTTGAAAAGCAATTTCACAGAATTTGTACAGTTATTATGACTGAATACAAAATAATTCTATTATAAATGGATTACCTAAGGGTCTTGCAGCACCATCACACTGCTGCCTCATGCAGTGTGGAGGGACGGCAAATACTGCAGATTTTGCAGCCAGTCCTCCAGTACTGGGGACAACCTGCCTTCCCTCATCAGCTGCTTTAGGAGCAACTTACTAGCACTTACCTGCAGCAGTGCCACTCGAGTTTTCCAAAGCACCAGCATTAATCCAGGGGCTCCCTAGTGCTCTTGGTGTCACTGCTAATGCTCATCTTCTGGAGAGTGGTCTACTGCAACGCCAAGTCTTCTGGTCTGCATCCTCCACTAAACTCAGCAGCCTCCTGCAGTGCTCTGTCAGTCTGCACGGCAAACATCAGGAAGGTCTGTCTGCCTGTTTCTTGGGCTTTCTACCAGGGTATGTTTCAACTTTGCAAATGCTGTCAAAGCAGCTGATACCATTCCCTGGGTCTGCTCTCAGCAGGAGAGCCGGTGACTCCAGGCTCGGACCTCACTGCAACAGGCTGCCGCAGAGGCATACATAGTGATCCAGCTGCACAGCAGCCCAACTCCTCATACTGGGATCATGCCATGCATTCTGCATGCGTCACATCACGTGTTGAACTACTGACTACCATCCAGTATCAGGCATTTCTCAATGGGTAGTTACCTACTTGCTAAGAATGCTCTCAAGTACCAGTATCTACCAAAGCTGCACATGAAGTTTGATCAACATCTTTTTCTTTCAGTGTTTCCCAGGGTGACTGGGAAACATGATAGAATTTATAAAAGGTGTCTAGTGGCCATGTTCTTGAGTCCTTCATTAAAGTGCAGGCAGTTTGTTCAAGTAAGCCTGTCAGTGGCCTCTCAGCTGCATTATGAGTAACTCCTTTAATTCACTTGCACCAGAATTCTAAGATTTCCTGCTTTTGGGGGTTCAGAGAGCTTGGCTTGTATTGCAGCTGAAATGAGTTGCAGTTCCATGTTTCTTGTTATGTTTGCATAACTTTGAGAAACTCTTGGGTACACTGATACCAAAGGCTGAATCATCTCATCTAGTAACATTGCTTTGTCATGCTCTGGTGGTTCAGGAATGTTATCAGCCTCATTTAATCACCTGCAATGATATGCAGACACACATTTCTATTCTGGGCCGTGTAGCATGAGCAATGAATTCTGCTTCAAACTCTGCTTGGCTAAGGACTTCTGGATTAAGCAGACCATCTTCAGCAGTCACACTCTCTCTGCAGGCTGGCACCCCAGCACACTGGAAGTACGGGACATCCTGGTGGGGAATAATGTGCAATCTCTGAAGGCAGTCAAACAATATCAAAACAGTTTCAACTTTAAATCCTTTGATCAACTGACTGAGCTATATTTGCACATACGGCTTTTGTACAGCTAAGTGTAGCGCAAGAGAAAGTAATACAGAATGTGAACTAGTTCCAAATTTGGCGAGTATATGACAGGGAACAAAACTTGGACTTCCTAGGGAACTTCAGAGAAAGTTAAACAAAAAAACCCAAAACAACCTACACAGCCACCATAATAAAGATGTGATTAAAAAGCCAAAATCAATTAAAAGTGAAGACCTTCAGCAGTGCCAGAACACACTCAGTGCATTTAAATAACTTGGAGTTATGAGTAACATGCTCAAACTTCTGTTTGCTTGCCACTTATTTATTACTTAAGAAGACTTTATACAGAGCTTGCCCAACTTTTTTTTTTTTTTTTTTTTTTTTTGATTTATTCCAGCACAATGACTTCTTGTAATGAGACAACATCCACAGCTTCCCTCCCAAGCTAAAGTTTCTCCCATACCATTCCCATAACCCTTTTTCTACTACTCTTAAGACTAGAAAAATAAACAAATATTCTTGCTAGACTTCTTTGAATGCCAGGGCTGGACTGGCTAATGAAATTGTCCAGGCAAGTTATCAAAGGTAAGAGGAAACATTCTATTCTAAAATCAGTACAAAGTATTGTAATGGTATAAGGTCAGGTGTACACAGGGACGGGGAGTATGAGGGCACAGGTACACAAATTATTTAGTTTGCTGACCTATCTTAAGTCTTCTGCCCCAAATCCTCAACTAATTTGCAATGCACATGAAAATCCTCTTTTCTTTACAAATGTTTTCAAATAATCCTAGCTAAACTTATAAACAATTGACAAACCTTCCTACAGCAGTTCATTTAGGTCACTTTACATTAATCCGCTCCACAAAAGGATAACAACTCTCAAATCTGCTTTTTCCTTTTTCTTTGAAATTTTCCTACTATAACGACCAGATCGCAATAAGGTTTAATCAACTAGATCTTGATGACGCAACGAGTACCATCATAAGAAATCACCTGCTACATCCTCCCCTGCATAGTCAGTTTTCCCATCAGCCAAAACTCCAAATTCATCCTAAAAATCTAAATGAACCAGCACAGAGAAAATACATTGCCCTTTGGGGAGAGCTGTGTCAGCTGCACAAAAAAAAAAAAAAAAATCCTTTTAAAGGAGAAGCAATTAATTTAAACCATTCCTTAGAAAACAAAGCAGAAGAGAAACGCTCCCTTCCCTTCTCCCTGCCCAGCTCCCACTTTCTGAAGCCTTCCTCCTGGCACGTACTTTTTGGGTTCAGCTGAAAGCATCTCCCTTCTCTCCACACATCTGTTCTGTGCAGGACTGCCGAGCTGCGACTCATCCCGAGGAGCATTTGAAAACCCAGGGTTTAAAAAGCCACTTGCAAGCAAGCCCTCCTCTGCTCCCAGCTTGGCAGCTCCAAGAGCATATCGAACCGCAGCTCTAGCCCCCAGCGAGCCACCGATCCCATTATTCAGCCTGAGTGGCTCCTCCATGACTGTTTTAAGTGCAAAAAGATGACTTTAAAAAAGCCCAAAACCAAATACCCCACAATTTAATTTTTATCTTATTTTTTTTAAAAGGATGGACACCCAGGGGAGCTTATTTCCAGGGCATCCCAGCTAGCTACCTCTGCCCTGGGAGCATCCCGAGCCCCCAAGGGTACCAGCCCCGAGGCTGGGCATCCTCGGGCAGTCAGTGCCGGGGCTCTGCCTTGCTCCGTACCTGCTCCCCGTGGTCCTGGGCGGGCAGTGTGGGCAGCCAGGGATGGAGGGTGGCGTCTGGGATTTCCTTCGCAGCGATTTGCCTGTGGCCTCTTAATGCTTTTGCTGCGAGGAGCCTGGCTCTGCCTTCCCTATAACCCCCCTTTAGGTGGCTGAAAACAGCAGCCGAGCATCCCCCGCTGCCTCCCCCTCCCCGCCTCATCTGGCTGGTCAAACCCGGCTCTGGCTTTCTTCTTGCATGCTCTGCGCTCCATCCCCACGGCCCATGAACCCCTCACGGCTCAGTTAGGGTGGCTTTGCCCTGCTGCACATGTGAGCAGCCACACGCCTTAACCCACAGCCGGATTTCTCCCTGTTCTGTCAAGGAACAGGGACTGGGTATAAAACGTAGCTTCTTCCCAGAGACTCACCCTGGAGTTACCAAAATTTCATCTGCAGCATATGCTTTCACATTCAAGCATCACCTGTTCCAGAGACACTTGAATAACTGCAGAAAATAAAGTGAACACCACCGAATGAGACACAGGAATTTCTTACCTCACAGAGCCTTGCTGGTGTTATGTTTGTAAAGCTGAACTCTTCAGAGGCACTGAAACGTGGTGAAAAGAGCAGGGATCTGATGGCAGGCATGCTCTTCGAGAGACTCTTTTTCTTACACTCTGGCCAGAAAGACATCACAGAAATAGTTGCATTTCTATCCCTATCATTTTTTCTTCATTGCATTGAAAGTATTTTCAACATAACTGGCTTCAGAGTTCCCCTTTTAAAAGACATGAATGGAGAGGATTTGTAAGACTGAGCTGTGTCTGGAGAAAAAAGGCTCGAAGTAGTAGAAATAGAAGTTTTTAAAAGTTATTGAGGGACTTGCTCATCTGGAGGGACTCCTCCATCTGGAGCATAACAGCAGTCAGAGCTTTGCAAGGACAACCTTAAAATTATTTCTGCCTCTCAGATTAGCTCTTTTAATTGATGATTTTAAAGATGATAGAAATACACCCACAGACATAAAACTTACAAGTGTGGTGTACACAAATAAAACCCCACAAATAATCTATAAATGTTGGAGAATACAGCAGAACTTCCTAAACTGGAGGCCTAGATTTCAAAGCAAAGTTTGATTTGGCATTTAATATCCCAAACACATGATGGATATGTTACAATAAAATTAATAATATGCCAGAACAGAAATAATTTTTTAAAAGTGCCTTAATGAAAACACAGTATGCCGTTATGTATTGTACTATAAAAGCCAGGATTATGGTATCATGGTCATACATAAATGTTTAGATACTGGTATTGTATATTGATCTTTATTACTTCATCCTTGGTTTCATTCCTTACTGAACCACCTTATTTCCATTAAATTATTTGACCTGACAGGTTCTAATTCCTTCCTCTGAAGATGCCCAGTAAAACAAAAAATCATATTAACTGCTGTCTCTTACCGTTAGTTGTACCTTGGCATCTCGATGCTTTATTTTTCAGGTCCACCTGTTGACTTGATCTCTGTAAAGTGCCAGTTGCAGATGGGTTTGGAAGCCAACTACAGTTCTTTCTATTGCTTTATACGTTCCAAGCTCAAATCCACCAAATGACACATTAGACATCATAACAGTTACATAGTTATTCTTTTTCTTTGTTCATTGCATCTCTCTTGTTACCTAAATGATGTGATCCATTAGACTGCTTTGGTGCCCTTAAAAATATTATGCCGATGTTCTACATGTATCATGAGGCATAAAGTTTTTGCTTACGACTTTTTCCATAAACATTGGCTTTCAGAGGAAAATTTATACACAATTTCCGAAGTACTATATACTGTCTTTGCAGTTTCAGAACCGGTAGATTCATAAACCGTTGGCTGATAGCATATTTTGTCAGTAATGTGTTTTAAATCTTTTTCAAGGCAACAGAGGCCACATGAGAAATTACCAGCCCTCTAACAACCACACATGGGTTCTCTTTTTTCCTTTACTTACACAAATGTGGAAATGCTGCTCTCTGAAACAATGAGACTCCTGACAAACTGTTCAGATGTCCTTTCTGAGGAACTGCTCGCTTTGCTCATGTTGTTGTTCACTCTTACATCTGCAAGTTGGAGCTGAAACTTCTCTGAGATCAGGCCACTGCACACAATACCTCACAGAGCTGGACTCAGAATGAACCCTTACTTTGTGTGAGATATTCTAATTAAAGCTAAGAATTGGATCCCAAAAGAAAGTTAAATGCCAACCAAAGCAAACTTTTTCAAGCTTCAGACTTGTTTAGACTGACAGAGTTTTGACTGACAGTTTGAGTTGGCTCCATGAATGACAGCATTTAGATGCAACTAAGCCTCCATCTAGAGGCTTACTGAACTGCTGTCACACACGTCTCTCTTGCCTGCGCTCAAACCAAGATTAGTTCTTCATCAGGCCTTTCTATGTCAGCTGTTTGCAATTAATCCTGGGACATGGGAAAATATGGTAAATCAATCAAGTGAGCACA